CATGAATAGATGGAATGTATGTAATGGCATAGCCCTCCCTGTGATATGGTACAAGACTTCATATGCTAAACAACTACTATTAACTAACATAGAGTTTTACTTAATTTGTCCAGTAACAACTTTTGCTTTTATCTACTTGTAGGTTAGTAACTCTTCTGTCACTATAACAGAATGCCTGAGATAATTAACCTATAAAGAGAAAAGATTTATTATAGCCTATAGTTTTGCAGTCTTCAGTCCATAATCAGGTGGGCCCATTTCTTTTAGGCCTCTGGTGCTGCCTGCCAGATAATAGTGAGCATGTGACAGAAGAGGGAGCATGTGACAGAGCAAACTTTTCACCTCATAGCCAAGACGAAGAGGAAGACAAGGGGCTGCAGTTTCACAGTCCCTTTGAAGATCATATCCCCAGTGACCAAAGGACCTCCCATTAAGGCTCACCTCTTACAGGTCCTTGGTCTGAGAACCTAGGCTTTAACACATGAGTTTGTGGGGAACATTTAACATCCAGACTATGGCAGTAAGTTAATGTAATGCAAGCTTATGCTTCTTTATTTCAATTGGTGCTGACCCCAAAGGAGGTAGTGCAGCATAAAGAAAAGAACATATGCTGTGAGATTTCAGATATTTGCTTTATCAACTATTGTGACTTTGGGCAAGATTCCAAACTTGTCTGGGTTCTAGATGATGATATGTAAGCTGGCAGTAGTAATAGATTGTGAGGATTAAGTGAAGTAATACATATATATATATAGTATTCTTGGGCTGTTGTCTGACACATGGTAGACATCCAGTGACCTGTAATAGCTCATTTTTAGATTATTATTTTGTTATTAACTCATGCCTTTTTTTGTGGTATTGGGACTTGAACTCAGGAACTCATGCCTTCTTCAGTTTTGAACTAGGAAGGTTTAAGGTGAAATGAAACATCTCAAATTCTTTTTATAAACAGTTTTATTTGCTGTGGAATTTGTTGTCATGCTGGAGGGTCAGTTTGGGCAGAAAGTGCTGAAGACCTCTGCTCCCTTTCTCCTAGGACTTTGGCCCCTATTTCAAAGCCACCTTGTTCCTGCAGGTGCCTCTCAGGCCTAGGATTATCTGGCTTCTTTTCTCACCTCACTCTGCTTGTGGTATGTCTCTTTCCTATGTCTAAAGCTCTGGTAGCTTTAGAAATTCTGGTCTAGGACCTCATGAATGGAGGAGACAGTTACAGGTTGAACATGACTTAGACTGTGGGTCCCCAACGAAGTATCTAGCTGAGCTCAGGGAACACAGTTCTTATCCCAGGTTCTTGGTGACTTCCAAAGGTACTTGTAACCCTTCTTCACGTACCAATATGGGGCAAAAGCTGACTGATAAAACCCAGGTCTGCTCCTGTGTAAGGGGTGTGCTTCCAGCTTCCCCTGAGACTGGTAGCTGTTTGCTCCCTACTGGAGCCTTTGGTGAGGCAAAACAACCAGAGCACACACACCTGCTGTGGCCTTCATGTTAGCCTGCTGTCTCAGCCAGTCAGCTTGCCTAAACACTTAGCAGTGCATTTGAAACACTTAGCAGAGGGTGAGATGGGCCTCCTCTGACTCAGAGGCCTGGCTGGATTTGGTGACTCAGAACCACTGATCAACGTGTCTATGGAGTTCTGTTTGACCCGACTTAGCTAGAGTTTGAATAAAGGGGAGGTGAGGACCTTCAATCTGAAATAAACAGGGCTTGTTTGACACCCCTGTCCTCCTGCCACAAGATAGTTATTTGGAGTATGGAACTCTCCCTTCTGCAGCAACACTCTTTAGTACACAATAAGTTGAACGCATGAACTGAAAAAATATTTAGCAAAGGGAGGCTTGGACTTACTGTTGGGTTTAAACCCTTGGTACCTAGGGCAGGAGCTTGGGCTTCTCTGGAGCAGGGATTGTAAAATTCATGGCTTTAGGTAGCATTCATATCTGGGTTTAACTGATTGTAGCCAAAGTTCTGAGAGGAGAGAGACTTCTTCTGGCCATTTCCTTAAAGAAGAGTCCTCAGGACCTGCCTGCTTTCTCTCCACTGCCTTCTGTCTGTTCCCAGCCCAGCCCAGCCCAGCCCAGGGATTCCTGCCGATCACTTTGTCTTCCTAGTATAAAAATTTACATTATTGTGGGTTTGTGTTTTGTTTTTTTTAAAAATTGTATATTGCTGTATCTACTTTTAACTTCCAGGAATAAAAGTTACACAGGAACTGTAAAAAAAAAAAAAAAAAAAAGTTCTCTTAATCTTTTCGGTGAAAAATTAAGTTAGAGGTAGCTTAAATACTAAATGGTGATGACTGAATTGGGGCATGGCTCAAGTGGTGCCTAGTAAGTGCAGGCCCTGAGTTCAAACCCTAGTACCATAAAGGGAAAAAAAAAAACAACCCGTAAATGGTGACAATTGAGAATTTGAGCATGAACCCATTTGCAACTATTGCAGCAACAAAGAAATTCAGGCTTAAAATCATAAATGTTTAATTCTTTGTTCATAATTAAAATAACCAGTCAAGCACGTACTGATTACTCTAAATAGCAAAGAGCTCTGAAACCATGACTTTGATTATCTTCTCTCAAGTGAGTCAGTTCTTTTAGTAATGAGAATACACCTAGGAGGCTAGCGTATATTGGACTCATGGGTATAAAGAAAGGAATGTAGATCCTTTCGAATTTTGCCATTGCGAAATGATAGTCTAGGTGTTAGGAAACTGACTTAGTCCTGGGTGCAGAATATGGGAAGGAAAAGAGAGAACTTGACATGTGCGAGTCAAGTAGGTCTTTGTGATATTCTTTGCCTCCATTTTTTTTCTAATAATTCTCTGTAGTCTCCTTTTCTTGAGTCTTACAGTTTGTTTAGTATTTCTATTTTTAATAATAATCTTTTGCTTAGGCTGCTAGTTTAAGTTATTTAAATAGAGTTCTTTTTTTCCCAAAGGATAGAATAGGTGCAGTAATATTACCAACTTTCTTCCTTTCTCTTAGCAAAACCAAAGCCCAGTCTCTCATTTCTTCTCATTTTCAAGGCTTTCCACATCATTCTCTAAAGATGAAACTTGTCAATTAGTTTCTGTATCATGGGATAGATTCTACTTATTGCAGTTCTTTTGCCTGTAAAATACGACTCTGACCTTACAATGGTTAATGTATAAGTAAAGAGGAACTGAAATGCTGAGTTTCTAGTTTAGATCACTTATGTGGTATCTTTACTTTTGATATAATGAAAAGAAATGAGTGAGTCACATGACTTGCTTCCTCAGCACTTCACCCTCCTGTTTTTACTGCTCCTTCTTCCACCAAAAAGCTTCCAAGAAAACTCCAACCGAAGTATATCAAAGTGCAAGAAATGTTTCAATTTAATTGAAAGAATAGCTAGATGATGAACAGTGAGTACCCAGTAACCAATTTAGAGAAGCCAGTTTATTATGACTTTATTTTAAAAAGTTTAAAGCTTACAAGGTACAAAGTTAATTAACAGATGCAGTCTAACAGATTATTCATCTCCTTTCAGCAGTGTACTGTAAACTGGGTCTTCTCAAAACTCACTGTAACCAAATGGATAAGGTTTTGTTTAAGGAAGCACAGGAAAGCTTTTCTGTTCCCCTTGACAACTAGTGCCTTTAGGTGAGTATCTGCCTTAATTGGCAGAATTGTAGTAATTCCTCGAGATTTGAGTAAAGTGACATGGTGAGTGTTCCAAGTCATCACATACAGAATCTTTCCTAATTATGGATTTTTCCATTTATAGAGTAAGAATTAGGAGGTCTTTTATGCTACCTGTCTTATAAATGCTTTTAATAGTTAGTGTAGAACCTAAGTTTTGGCTTCTGGTGTACCATTAGTTCTCCATTGCTCTTCTTCAAGGACTCCAACAGGAATTAGCCAATTAGAATATTTTCGTGACTAAGTATTTTTAAGTAATGTTACCAGGCCATGTTTAAAACAGCTATGGAAGGGACACCATTCAATTTAGAAGTTTCTTTTTTTTTTTTGATGATGCTGGGGTTTGAACTCAGGGCCATGTGCTTGATAGATAGGTGCTCTACCACTTGAGCCATGCTCCAGCCCTAATTTGTTGATCTTGATCTTCTGGAGGGTCAAGACTACCCTTCTTAATTTTAGAGATTACATTTCAAAAGGATGTAAAAAAAGAGCCCTAGTTCTTTTTTCTTTTTTCTGTTGTCCAAGACTGTATATTTTGTAAAAGCCTATGAATATCTTTCTGATTTCAACTTGACTCACAGCTTTCTATATTGTAGCTAATTAAGATTTGCTCAAGCATTAAAAGCATTTTAATTTGAATGAATAAAAATATGAAGTTTATGAAAAGTGCAGTTACTGATAACTTACCTTTGAATTTTTGTCCTTAAAAACTTAAAAAGACTATTTATTTTAAATAGTCTCATTTTTTTTTAAATTATTAGGACTTTATGTTTGAACTGGTCACATCTGTCAAATTTCTTAGTGTGGCCAAATTGTATTGGAACATTTGTTCTTACTTTAGCCATAGCACTAATAAGTCAAAAAAATAATTGTGTTTGATAATAGTTACTCAGAAAATTTCAGTTTATACCATGTGATAATTACTTGATTGGTTATGGGCATAATAATATTTTAAAATAGGACGTAATTTCACTTGTAAGAAAAAGCAAGGTACCTTTGTATAAACCTCTCAGAATGAGAAGAGAAGGACTAAATATACATAATTTTGAACAAAAAAAGGTAATGTTCCCCACATAGTGTTGTTTGAAGTAGTGATGCCAGAACATACATTGATTCCCTGCTTTGTGGCTTAGTTAGTGAATTCAACTTGGTGGGTTATATGTGATTTTTTTTTTTCCCCCTTCAGTTCTGAGGCTTGCAAAAATATGGCTGGGGCTAATGTTATTTTAAGAAATTCTGCTTGCAGCTAGTTTGTAAGACTCTGAGTCATATTAAAACAGGAAAGAAACAACAGTATGTGACTTTTCTTGTTAACAGATCATAATTGTGTGCTTTTTCCAGGTGGCCTCCTGATAGCATCTGCTCATTTTGGTGCGTATGTCTATGGAACAGACATAGACTATAATACAGTTCATGGCTTAGGTGAGTAGAACTTATAGATAGCATTACAGTCTTGCTGTTGAACCACATGTGCCTTTAAAATAATAAAAATAATTTGTATTACATTTCAATGTACAAAAAACAAAATTGGAGTATTTTACAGTAAGACCTTACAATATTGCTTGTTTTTGCAATAAGACTTTATTTTTACAATAAGACTTTATTCTTACAATAAGACTATACATTTTACAAAGTGATCCAGTGTGTGCAGAGTATTCTGGGAGAACACAAAGATCGGTAGGACAAAACCTCTGCTTCTTCCTGAGATATTTGTGGTCTCAATGAGAGGTTATTAAAAAAAAGTAAGTAAGCATAAGGCTGTGAACTTGAGGGTTGGAAGAGAAATGAAAGAGAGGGAATAGCCATTTGATAAATAGCAAGCCATCCATTTATTCAGTAATCATACATTGAGTATATATTGGATTACTATGTAGTCTTTGAGGTAACATAAATTTTAACTTTTGTAAATGACCAAGGCATCTTTAAAACACTTAATATTCTGTCTTTAAGGTAATGATAGAAAATATTTACAATATTAAAGACTTCACAAATGATATTTGGTTAGATGGAATTGAACCAAATTGAAAAAGTATTCCTTTTACTTGGATGGTATTAAAAGATACCAAGCTTTATTCATGATTTTGAAATTGTCTTTGTGTTGGTATTCCACTATTGTAACTTCAGTCAGTTCTTAATTCTTCACTCAGTTTAAGTTACTGAATAGGATTTATTATACTTTTTTTTGCTAACACAATTAGATATGTTGTACTGATGACACTTTTTTCTACCTTGACTCTAGGACATTAATATTTATTTGGAAAAAATGAATTATGTTTTTAGTGGTTTACATAAATAGGCTAACCAGAAAGTATTATTATTTGTTTGCATTTATGCTAGAGTGGGTAAAGTGGTAAGAAGCCTTTCTCCAGCTTGCTTTTGGTAAAAGAAGTATATTTGCTTTAAGGAAAGTATACTACTGGGGTAGGATTCTGAGGAGTATTTCCTCAAGAGTTCATACAAGGTACTGCTAAGTATGTCCTGTTCCCTGTGTTCTAATCTCTTAGACTTAAAAATATTCTCGTGTTTCTCTTACTTTAAAAGAAAAATCCTTTTCCATTAATCCTGTAGGAGCCCTCCAGCCACCACTTTGTTTTCTTCTTTTGCCAAAATGCCCACCCATAATCCTAGTAATTGCTTGCTGCATTCATTTCCTTATTTCTCACTCTTTTACCCATACTTTCCAGCCTTCATACCCACTCTTCTGCTGGAAATGCTTACTAAGGCCAGAGAGCTACAACATTTGGCAGTGTTGCCCTTTATAAACCTTCCTTGGCTTCCTATCATTGAGTGGTACTTACTTTTTGACTGTTTTATCTCAGGCTCCTTAAGTCCCTTGTGATTTTCTTTGATCTCTGTTTACATACTGCCTTTCTCCAGGCATCTGTCTTTGACTCTTGTTCCTGTTACATTGCATGTTGCTTACAGTCCTGTCATTCTTTTGATTTTTAAGTTTTGATTTTTATTGTGAAGTAAATCATAATAAGAATGTATAAATATATAAGAATAATTGTAGAGCAAACTCTTATGTAACTAGCACGTAGGTCAAGAAAAAAATGTCATTTGTTTTTACAGATTCAACTTGTTTGTATACTGATATCTTCCAACTGTTATGTTCTAGCCTTCAGCTACCTGCTCATTATCTCTTTCAGCTGAATATCTCTTTCTAAATGTTCTGCAAGTACCTTAAGTATATCTTGATTATGTATCTTAATCTGTTTGCCTAAGCTTGTTTTTCCTTCTGGTTTCTCTGATCTAATCTGCTGGTATCATTATCCACTTATGTCTCCTAAACTAAGCTTTTGAACTTCTTTACCCTTCCCTTTAACCCCCACTTTGTCTTTTCCTCAGTGATGTTTGCATTTTGCCTGCCTTCTCCATAGTCACAGCTGTTGTATTTTCCCTTAGCTTTCTTCATTTCTGTTTTATTTATCAGATCCTTATCAGATCCAACCCTATCTCTACATGGGACTATTTATTGCTGTAGGAAAGGGCTGTGTTCTTCTTAGCCAGCAGTACTTCATATTTAGAAAGTATTGACTATTTTAAGGCAGCTTTTCTTGAAAGGCAACACACCAAGATCAGTTAGATATCATACAATATATATAATGTTCGACATATATAATAAGTCGAAATAAAAATAGTAGTTTAATTATATACATAAAATTAAGATTTTAAATGAAAGCAGATTTTATGAATAAATATGGGTTTAGATTAGTTAAAACATTACTTTTACCTAAACAGCAAGAAATAAGAATGCTCTGTTTGATGTAATACTTTCTACCTTGCTTTTTCTTCCCCTTCAGGAAAGGCTAGTAGGAAAAACCAGAAATGGAGAGGACCAGATGAAAATATCAGGGCAAATCTTCGTCAGTATGGTTTAGAGAAGTATTACCTTGATGTCTTGGTTTCAGATGCATCTAAACCTTCTTGGAGGAAAGGCACATATTTTGATGTGATCATCACTGATCGTAAGTTTACTTTTATACAAAAGTAGGAGTGGGATTGGTTTTCCTATAGTTGTTCACATTTAAAGTATAAAATGTATCAGCACATACGTAAATGCTATTGTGTTCTATTCCTCCCAGTCTTCACATAGTAAGGAGGAGAAAATTAAGAATGTAAGGCAGGTTACCAATTTAAGTACTTAGGAGTTTGCTGTTTTGTTGTTATGGTTTTTTTTTTTTTTTTTTTTTGGCAGTACTGAGGTTTGAACTCAGGGCCTCACACTTGCTAGGCAGGCCCTCTACCCCTTCAACTATGCCTCCAGCCCTGTTTTTAAACAAGTACATTAACTTTCATTTGTATTTATATCCTTATGTATTAATTTGCCACTCATTTTTCCTTCCAGCTTATCTTTTTGAGGCATGTATTTGTTTTAATATTGACTATAATTGGTTATTAATACCAACTAGAGCTACAGTGTCATTTATAATTATGGTATCAAATCTCGAAGAGTTTCAGATATCACACGTTTCTTCATATGTAAGCTTTTGTGGTTTTGTAGTGCCTGTTTTCATTGGCATCTCCTTTCCAGACCTAAAAGAAATTTGGGCTGTAAACCACTAGGCTTGTGAACCCACTGAGCTTCAGGAAAGTACATGAGAACTTATTTTCCATGTCTCTTTTATGTGTTGGGTTTTTTTTGTTGTTTTTTTTTTTTTGTCTGTACTTGGGGCTTGAACTCAGGGCCTTCACCTTGAGCCACTCCACCAGCCCTTTTTGTGATGAGTATTTTTGAGATAGGGTCTCACTATTTGCCTTGGTTGAATTTGAACCACAATACTCCTGATCTCTGCCTCCTGAATAACTTAGATTACAGGGGGCACCAGCACCCAGCCGCCTTGAGCTTTTTAAGCATACTGTTCTAAGAATAGGTCTGTCCTTCCTATAGAATTTGGCAATAAATCTCTATAAATAATGGCAAAGTTAAGACCTTCTATCTTGGCCCTCTTTAGTAGCAGGTGGTTTCATAGCTAATGAAAGAAAAATCCATCAAGGCATTATGATGTCAGTATGAATATACTTTATGAAAATTGGGTGACTTTTCAACAATTTATGTGTTTGCCCATTATATGTACATATTTATATAAAATACATAATTTTTCTCAAATAAATTTGAGAGCAAGTTATATACATATACTATGGTCTTTTAACCCCATATTTCAGTGTGTATTTCCTAAGAACAGGAATTTAGAAATTCCTAAGTATTTAGGAACAGTATTTTAGAGATCAGAAGTACAGTTAAGAATTTCTGTAAACTGATATAATACTTTAATCTACAGTTTGTCATAAATTTTTGTCAATCAACCTATTAATATTCCTTAAGACATATTTTTTACCTTGAGCACAGGATCCGCCTCAGTCAGGTATTACATTTAGTAATGATATCTTTTAGAACTTCTTTAGTCAAAATACTTCCATAGCCTTACTATGTCATTGACACTTTGGAAGAACATAGTTGCTTCTCCCTCAACTTTTATGTTATGTACTGTAAGTTAGAATGTGTATAGGTGATGTTGTTTCCTTCTCCTGTTGTCACATCTGGAGGTACATTATATCTATCTGCTCCTCTTTGGTGGTTTGGTGACTTTTGACTGTCTGTGTTATTTGTGTTTTCTGTCTAGCTCCATATGGTATTAGAGAATCTACAAGAAGAACAGGCTCACAGAAGGAAATACCAAAGGGGATAGAAAAATGGTAAATGAAATTTAGTATGATGAGTAACTACCTTGAGAAGCTTGTTGCTTCTTTTTAATTAGCTCAAGCAGTCTTAAATTTTTCACTGATTTTGAAATTTCATTTTCTTTATTAGTCCAGAAAGCCACGTTCCTGTTTCCATGAGTTATCACCTGAGTGATATGTTTTTTGACCTGTTAAACTTTGCAGCGGAAACCCTCGTATTAGGTGGAAGACTAGTCTATTGGTTACCAGTGTATACACCAGAGTATGTAATCTTATTTCTAATCTCATTTTTCTTACAATGTTTGCACTTATAATTTTTTCCTACATTCTAATTGTATTCAAAGTATTTTTGTATTTAATATATACTGATGGCCTTAGTGTTTACCCACATATATATAAAAAATAGTCCCCTTCCTCTTAATTGACTTAATTGTTTTGACCTTTTTATTTTGCATCAAAAGTTGGCGAACCACAGCCAGATATTGTTCTCAGCTTGTTTGTAGGTCCTTGAGCTAAGATTCCATTTTAAGTTTGTACAGGGTTGTTAAAAACATACACATGCAAATGAATATGTGACAGAAGCGTGTGTGTGTGTGTATATGAATATTTCCACAAAAATCTAAAAATATTTACCCTGTGTCTCTTTACAGGAGAAGTTTGCCAACCCTATTGTACACCACACTTAGTTCAGTGCTTGACCTATCATATATGCTCAATGACTGTCTTACCAATCTACAAACATGAGTGGTTTTCACCAATTTAGCGAAGTGATTCATGTATCTACCTATAGTGCTAGCTTTCGTATATGTTGTCTGCATTTAAGGTATTATAATTTTCTTAAATGGGTATGATGTTTTTAATTTTAAAGAGACAAGACCACAATAAAGGCTGTGCATATATGTAAAGTTCTGTTTATGTTCACCATTTTTGGTTTGAGTTTAATTACTTAGTAACTATTAAGTGATGAACAGAGTTTTATACATCAACAGTGAAAGATAAGAGGTTTAAACAAGATGGGATCTTCAGAGTTTAAAGATAGTAATTATAAAGTTCAGTTATTTCTTCAATCTGCCATAGAATTTTAAAGACAGTATTTTAATTCCTATATTTACTGTGTATACTTCTTCAAAAACATTTTAGAACAGAGATAAATTGCCATTTTACAGTGGTGGATGATCCTTTGGCATTTGGGAGTTGTGATTTTTTGTTTGTTTTTTATTTTACAAACTTTGTATTGGAAGTTACTTTGGCCTAGCTTTAGTCATGCATTTGTTTATTAGCTAATAAGTCAGTACACGTTTGTACCCAGATTGCTTAACACTGGCTTTGTTTTCTTCCTGGTGATAATCTCATTTAATCCCTTTACTTTAGAGGTGAGGAAAATTAATTTCAAGGAATGAAATGACTTGTCTAAAATTAAAAGCCACCCAGCTAATCAGTTTTATTATTCCTAGTGCTATGTTCATTTAATTGAGCATCCTGCCTGATTTTATATACCCAGCATATCAAGTAATAGGTGGAATTTTATTAATATTTTCAGATTGGAACAGGTTCATTCACTTTTATGCAAAAAATGGTTACTATTTTTGGCAAAGTGTATTCTACCATATCATCTGGTTTCTCCTATTTTGAAAGTACAAAACCTTTTCTATCAATTCTATTGGGATCTTCTAGCTACCATTTTGTTTTCCTCTTCCTTTTTTGATGCTTGTCAAACTAATATTGACTTGTCTCCTTTTCCTCATGTTTCTCTGTCTGACCATGGCAGATGCAAGCCACTTGCTTTTTGTTTTAATTCAAGTTGCAAGGCTGGGGATATAGCTCAGCTCTTGGGCACTTGCCTAGTATGCACCAGACCCTGGGTTCAGTCCCCAGTAACACAAGAACAAAACAAAGTGAAACACCCAATCAAGTTGTAGAACTAAGATTTAAAAAAAAAAAATCTGAAATAATTTCAAATTTAACATAAAATTTCAAATATAGTAGAAGAAGCTCCCATCTCTGCCCTGGCGATGCAGATTTTTCCAAATATTAACATCTGTCTACCCTTACCTCCTACTTCTGACATACTCATTAATATTAATCTATTTGAAGCTTTTTGAGAAGATGTAAGTATGATGCCCTATTACCCCCATATAATCCATTATATTTTTCAGAAACATCAGCATTTCTGTAACAGCATTGCTTTCCCGTTCATGGACGCCATTCAGATTTTACCAGTTTCAATCCATCCGGGAAAATATGCTGCATTTATCTATCTTATATCTTTGAGTCTCTTCCAGTCTGGAATATTTCCTCAGTCTTTCTCTATCTTTTGTGTCTGATTGTTTTAGAGTACATGGCTTATACTCTGAGCAGACCGAGGTAATTCTTGGTAGGAATACCACAAACATGATCTTGTGCAGTACATTGTGGGGCACACAGTCTCCCCAGTGGTGATACTCATGTTGACCTCGGGCCATGTTGCTCTCTGTCAGGTTTCTTCACTCTGAGTTATCATCTTCTCCTTCAATTAGTATTTCATGGGAAGGTATCTCAAGATTATATAGTATCTTGTTGTTCATCAAATCTCCACTCACATTGAGGATCTCATTTTTTTATATCTACCACTATGGCAGTTGCCAAATGATGTTTTTATTGTCTGTCATTCCTTAATACATTTGTAAATTTGCATTCTATAAGGAAGAATTTTCCCTCTCCTTCATTTATTTATTCATTTGTTTATAGCAATATGGGGTTATGGATTCCTATCTTGTTCATTGGATTGTAATTCATTACTGTTACTTATTTTGTTGCCCAAATTATCCCAAATTTGACCTGTAGGAATCTCTTTGGGGCTGACTCCTGTACTTTGAAGTGCCCTCATTAATTTTCATGTGCTTTCTTTCTATTTTTATGGTGGTACTAGGGTTTGAACTCAGGGTCTTGCTTTTTCCAGTCAGGTGCTCTACCACTTGAGCCACACCCCCAGCCCGTTTTGTTTTTTAGTTAGTTTTAGGATAGGGTCTTAAGTTCTTGCCTGGTACTGGCCTCTGACCTTAATCCTCCTACCCATAGTTCCTTGTAGCTGGGTTTACACTCATGCCAGGCACACACCTGTCCATACCCAGCTTGTATATTGAGATGGGGGTCTCGCTAACACTTTGCCTGGTTGACCTCAAACCGAGATTCTCCTGATCGTTGCCTCCTGAGTGGCTTTTGTTACAGGCATGAACAACCATGGCTGGCCTGTGTACTTCCTTTATAGTATATCTGCTTTTGCACTCTTTTGTCGTTTTTATTTTATGTGGTGAAGAATTTCTTTTGGAGTTATTTTATTCATTTTAAAAAAGCAAAATTAGAGGTGCTTAAACTAAATGTATTTCTAAAGACCTAAGAAAGAAGTTCCTGGGTATTTCTTTGGTGACTTTTTCATAATTTTGCTCAAGGGGGAATTTCTAAATATATATAATCAAAGGAATGCTTTAAAAGTAGACAAGGACCCAGGCATGGTGGCCCATACCTGTAATCCTAGCACTTAGGAGGCTGAGGAAGGATGATTGCAAGTTTGAGGCCAGCATGGGCTACATAGCCCATTCCAGGCCAGTCCAGGCTACAGTGACCTTGTGTTAAGATGGAGTGGGGAGGCGGGGGACAGAAATAAGTAGACGAGGTAGTCATATTTTTTTTGTCTTAGAAGTTTTTTTCTGACTTATTTGAATCTGGAGAGTTTTTTTTTTTCCAGATTATTAGGTATTTATTACTAGACCTTTATTGTCTCTTCTTTCCTTAAGCCTGCAATGATCTTATCAATGAATCATTAATTTTTATTAATTCCTAACAGTAATGAACTTTAGTGTCTTGAGTTTATGCTCATAAATGAACTGTTTTCACTTTCAGTATGTATCATCCTAAATTGTTACTCTTTTTAAAATAACAATATTAGGCTGGGCATGGTGGCATACACCTCTAATTCCAGAACTCCCCAGTGCTGAGGCAGGAAGCTCTTGAGTTTGAGGCCAGCCTGGCCTACACAGCTAGATCTTGCCTCAAAAACCCCCCATAAAATCCCAAAACTTATACTACCAAGATGAATTTAAGGCTAAAGTCATCTGCATAAGTTTCAAATAATGTTCTTGCTTTTGAGTTAAACAGTGTAGAATTAGTTTACTTTATGTTGCACTTAAAATAGAGCTTTTTATTGTACCAACAGTGAAAAAGGAATTGGATTTCAACTTTACCATAGCATAGCTTAATTTTAAGACGTCTGTTTTTGGTGTAGTGAATATAGACCTTTAATTCTATTATTGAGTTATTGAGTTAATTTACTCAGCCAAATCCTGTTAATTGTTTGAATTGTAAAACTAAATACTACACATTATATTCAAGTTCAGATATAGTTATTTAAACCCAGGACATTTTGAAAACTACAATTAGACATAATAAAAACAAAATCCTGCCTAATAGCTCAGTTGTATTTGAAAAATTGTCAGAGCCGATAGTTGTAAAGGGTTTTTCTCGCTTTGACAATTTAAATTGCATCAAAGAAATGGCTACTCACAAGCTTCTGCTATTCTTGTAGTCTAGACTCTCCCTTTTTCAGGATATCATATTTTTTATTGTTTTATTATTCATATGTGCATATAATAAGGCTTGGGTCATTTCTCCCCCCTGCCCCTACCCCCTCCCTTACCACCCACTCCGCCCCCTCCCTCTCCCTCCCATCCCCTCAATACCCGGCAGAAACTATTTTGCCCTTATCTAATTTTGCTGAAGAGAGAGTATAAGCAATAATAGGAAGGAACAAGTGTTTTTGCTGGTTGAGATAAGGATAGCTATACAGGGAGTTGACTCATTAATTTCCTGTGTGTGTGTGTGCTACCTTCTAGGTTAATTCTTTTTGATCTAACCTTTTCTCTAGTTCCTGGTCCCCTTTTCCTATTGGCCTCAGTTGCTTTTAAGGTATCTGCTTTAGTTTCTCTGCATTAAGGGCAACAAATGCTAGCTAATTTTTTAGGTGTCTTACCTACAGGCTATCATATTTTTTTCCAGCATCAAAATGCTGGAAAATCTTCCCTCTCTGTTTATCCTGCCCCCATTGCTTAATATGCCCTTTCTTTTTTCAGCTGGTAAAGTTCTAGTCATTTTTCAAAGTCTAGCCTAATTCCCATCACTTCTGTGACACTTTTTTGTTCTTTCTCAACAGAAGTAATCAGTTCTTCCTCTGTGCTCTGCAGTAGTTTATATTGACATTCAGAGGTAGTTACAATGTAAAATCACTGTAGATTTTTGGTATTCACAGGTTTATTGTTCATAATTTTGAACAATAAACTGACCCTGAAGATCTGTATTCTATCATTTGATATAAGACATTAATTCAGCTCATGTGTTGTTGATATCTGTAGAAGTCGAAGTTCCAGTGAGTGAGTGAGTATAACTGTTTGCTCAGGTTCCACATATCTATAGAGCTTTGTTATCTAATTTCATTGCACACAGAAAAAACCTCCTCCTTTTTTTTCCTTGGTGATACTGGGGTTTGAACTTGAGGCCTTGCAATTGCTAGTCTGGCACTCTACCACCTTAGTCACATCATCAGCCCAACAGATAACTCTTAAGCTGATTAGAAACTGTTTCTTTGTGAAGGAGGACCTTTAATAGCAACCCAGCTACTAGTATTAGTGATAAATGTGATGACATACAAACATCAAAACATTGCATGTACCCTATAACAATCTATTATAATTTGTCAATTAAGATTTTAAAAAGCCATGAGTATGCCCCACATTAGGATTTGGGGATAAATTTTAATTGTAGTAAATGAAATTTGTGATGGCTCAGATCAGTGAAGAAAACATTTTTCATCTCTTATCCAGGAAATGGGAAAAGAGTGACTCTTTAAGCTGTTTTTAGTACATGTTCCATTCAGTCTAAAATCTGTTTCTTAAATGGCTGATGAAACTGTAGTAACATTTGGGAAATAATTGAGATATAAAGATTCACAGGAAAATGAGTGACTATCAAAGTGGATTCCTGAAAAAGTTAGGGGCCCATACACAGTTATTTTTGCTTTTTAAAAAATGTTGGGGTTCTTTGTTCTCACTCTAGAGACAACCCACTTTCAGTCTATTGAAAGTGTATTCTTTTCATAATAAACTTCAATTTTCACTACCCAGAAAAAAATGTTGAAGCTGGGTATAGTGGCACATGAATGAAATCCCAGCACTTGGGAGCCCAAGGCAGGAGGATCTTGGTTTGAGACAAACCTGGTCTATGTATGGAGTTCTAGGATGGCCTGGGCTAGAAAGTGAGACCCTGTCTCAAACAAACAACAAAAAACCCAACAGGAAAAAATAGTTGGAATATAATTTGTATTCTGAATTCCATGAAATTCCCCCTTTAAACTCTACTTCTCCCTGGGTTTTAGTATATATGCAAAGTTGTGCAAACATCACCACCATTTCATTCCAGAACATTTTCATCACCCCAAAATGAAACCTGATACATATTAGCAATCACTATTCCTTCTGCCTCTGGCAACCTCAAATCTATGTCTGTGGATTTGCTTGTTTTGGCTGATTTAAGTTTTAAGTTGATACCTTATGAGTGTAGGGGATAGTAGTAAAAAGCAATTAAGTTAGTATCATAATAGGCTACCCAAAGAACAGATTTATATCTTCTAATGGTTTGAAAATAATCCATTGGTATGAAATATATATTAATAAGTATGCAGTGGAAAAATTTAACTGCTATTTAAAATTTTTTTTTAGTGTGGTGTTTTGGAAGTATATTGTTAAATTGGTAGCTGGCCCTCCATATCAGTGGTTTATGTATCAGGATTTAGCCTAATTTGAGTCAGAAATGTTGTTAGACCTACGATGGTTGCTTAGATAATGAACTCAGACTTTTCTTTGCCATTACCAAAACGATGTAGTATAACTATTTCCATTGTATTAGGTATTGCAATACCTCATCATTTTAATGCATTCCTGGATTGTGGTATCTGGCAGGGGAGGGTCTGTGGAGAGCAGGTGTCCTAGAACCTAGAAACATCTTCTATAGATATAGAGAGAAACTTTTAATAGATTTGTGGTCAAAACAAGTTTCTTAATGATAAGAACCCAAATGATGGTCCTTTATGCTTAAAATCAAAGATTCAACCAAAAAGACAATAGAAAGCATGTAAACTTGTTCTTATGGTATGAAACCAAATGCTGTGTGTTTCATGCCCACCCAGGGAGACAAACATACATATATACACTACAGACAGTGTTTGACAAACACTATTTCAGGCATCCACAGATATTGCTGTTTGCAAGGTTAAGGTCAAAGATAGGTCTTCTTTTTTTTTTTGTTTTAATTTTAGTCTCAACCATGGTGTAGACTTTCATATTGTAAATGCTTGTTATGAAGATTACAAATTTGATGTCAACTGATCTTATAAGAAGTACACATTTCTGATTATATAGTGAACATTAATTATTAGATGAGGTGAAACTGAAATGATCATTATTGTTGGAAAGCTCTAAGGAAGGAGGCAGAGAATGACTAAAAGAAAATTCCTTATGTTGATAATATAGTAAAGTGCAGTATGAATGTTGCTTGGTGAGTGATGAAAGTTTTGAGCATGTGGTGTTGAGGTAATGAGGAAGAGCTCGTTGAAGGTCAGAGAGACCAAGAAAAATCAGTAAAAGAGGTAGTGAAAGTCAGGAAGAGTAGTTGTGTGACACATTAGAATAGCTAGTTGAGACTATGGTTCTTAATCAGCATCTTTCCCATTTTGGGTCAGAGCTTTAGGATTCCCATATGGTAAATGTATGCAGAGTCTATTAAGAAAAGCATAAAGATTTGCAAAGAGAAAATAAAAACTATCAGTATTCTAAATGTACCCACTCTAGTGAGCTCCTTCCTGCCGTTCTGCATTTTGCTTCAAAGCTGTCTCCCCAGGTTTTTCACCTGTTTCTTCTGCTAGGATTTTTATACCAACAACCTGTAAGACACCATGTTCTTAACTATTGACTCACCTGCTTTCTAGGTGTCATTATCTCTGTTCATGTACATGTGCTGTATATAGTACCACTCTCCACCATTCAGTGTTATGACTTCAGTTTTATTTACTGATTAATGTGAGCAGATAACTGATGTAATCTGTGGTGTTTATTGCAGTCGTAGTTTATTTGAATAATTGTATAAATATGTTATTTTTGTATTTATAAATTTAATAGAAGTCTGAAGATACTAAATTTTGCAGGACTACCTCATTTTATAGCAGAAGTGTATGCTACAGTTGACTTTATACTTTGGGAATTTATAAAAATCTTTAGATGAGCTGGGTGCCAGTGGCTCATGCCTGTAATCCTAGCTACTTGGGAGACTGAGATTGAGAGGACTACAGTTTGAGACCAGCTGGGCAAATAGTTTGTGAGAGCTTACCTCCAAAATAACCAAAGCAAAATGGACTGTAGGTGTGGCTCAAGTGGTAGAGTACCTGCTTTGCAAGCACAAAGCCCTGAGTTCAAACCCCAGTACCATGGGGGAAAAAAAAATCTCTAGATGAATCAGTACCTATGAATGTCAAGGGTTGAAGAGTATATAACTGGGTAGTCAGTAGGAGGGGAAAAAAAAAAGTGTAAAGCTGCCCACCTTGTCTGTTCATGTGGGATCCTTTAGGGTGGGATCATCTAGTATTTTTATGGTTTTAAATGTTTGGTACTCTTTTGTACAACATACTTGTATTCTCTCTGCTCCCTAGAACACATTTTTTGGGGGATGTGGTAATATTAAAATATTTTGCCTTTAAAATACAGATAGATAATACATGGATTATATGGATACCACACTGGATGTACCCTCAGTGATTCTGTGTGGGCTGCACATGTGAATGTTCATAATAGTCAGCTCTTCTTCCTTCAGATACACTGAAGAAATGGTACCCTGTCACCCTTGCCTGAAACTCATTAGCAACTGTGAGCAGAAGCTTTCCAGTCACACATCAAGGCGTTTGATCACTATGGAGAAGGTGAAGAAATTTGAGGTAAATTGCCTAAGTATTTTAAGAATCAATTCTAGAAGAATTAAAACTAGATTTTTTTTGTTTTCCTCTAGTGAAGTTTGAAAATGTTAATCCTTAGATTTAATTTTTGGGTTAACTTTGATTTTAAAAAAAGAAAAAAAAATCTTTTTTTTTTGTCTTGGTTTTAATTTTTTGTTTTTTGAAACGTTATCTCTGTCATCCTCAGGCTGACCTTGAACTTGAGATCCTCTTGTGTCAGCCTCCTGAGTGCTGGCATTTGCAGTTGTGTACCACCACTTCCAAAGAGAATTTGAAGAGATTTGCAACATTTGGTTGGGGATGGAGGATAGGAATAGGATAGAGAAGATGAATAGAAGGAAAATAGAAGCTGATCCTAACTTGTCAGGCTTTATTTGATGTTTTTGTTACAAGAGCAGAACCTACTTGATTGCAGACTATAATGAAGAGAATGTTTCTTTATGTAAGGGAGAAGGTAAATTTCCCTATCTGATAGGGATCAAAATTCATATTCTCTCTCTCTGTTTTCCCCTCTACTCCCTCCCTTAAGTACTCATACATTCCATTTCATCTTGAGAAGGGCAGAAACATTTTGTTATTTCCTAGTCAGAATTGATATGAGTAATTTCTCATATGGAGAAATTAAATCTATAGGATGCTCTTTGGTCTGTACTGTCTTGTGTTGACAACCAAAGTTCTTCCAAATTCACTGGCAGCTTGAATAAGCCCCATCTTTGCTTTGCATCTGTAGGCAAGCAGAAGAATGGGGTGGTAGTATCTGATTTTCATTCTGTCATACCTACATCTACTCTACATTTGATTTATATTTATTTAATTCACATCTCATAGATCTTTCACAATAGTGAAAACTACTATTTGTACAGTGCCTTGCATGAATTATTTTACTTCCTTATTTTTATCCTTTTTATTTCAATTTTTATCTAATTTAGAGCCTTATTAGCATACACTTGGTTTGTGACAGACTGCAAGCTTATCTTTCTCCTTTACACCTCATTAGTTAGAAAAAATTTGCTATAACACTGCATTCATTGTATCACTTCTTTATGCAGTCTTTTAGTGACTCATTTTTATTAATGAATAATGCTCAGATTTTTCAGTATGACATAAAGAATAATCAGGCTCCAGTATGAAGCTTTTTAGAAAGCTAAGTTATACATATATAAAAATAGTTGATTGTTCTCCATTAGGATATGTGCATCTATACACAGATGCATACATGTATGTGACTAAAATGACAGCATATGGTAGTAGTTTTTAAAACAAAAATACTAGAAATTTGTGTTCAAATGACATATCCTTGGAGTGGTGTGTTTATATTCATTCTGCTTAAGGTGTGATTACTGAGCATGTTCTTAAGATTTCTCTTTTATATTTACCTTTAAAGAAATAAATTCCCAATAAACAGTTACTTTATAGTAACACCTTGCTTTTCTTCAAATGATACTGCTGGACTTTGCTGTTCATATTTTATATACCAGTTTACTTAATTAAAATTGTCTGTGGAAATCAAATCCTATTCCAAGGATGATTACAATTAAACGTTTAGAACATAAGCAGACTTAGAAATTCAAAGAATGATTTTCATATTGTTGGCACAGTGATGACTTTCCAAAATGATAATTTTCAATGACAAACATTTGTATGGATATATAGTTGAAGATCTCTTATCTTGCTGTTCCTTTCAAACTCAGCCAGTACTTGCCACTCCTGCTCCAAAAGCCACTTCACCTAGTAAGAGTTGCTTAATCTCTACTGTGTCCTGTACTTTTGTATGTTCCAACTGAATTGTCTGTTAACCAAGAGCCAGTTATTGTATTTCTGGAGCTATTTATGTCAGGTAGATCTGTTATAATAATTATGTAATCTAATTAAATATTAGACTAGTGGAATATGGGTATAAAAATAAAGTTGTCATTTCTATAAAAACCAAGTTGAGTGCTTAGGAGAAAAGCTATACTTTTTTTCTTTTTAAAAAAATTGTATTAGTATATAATAGTCGTACAGGGAGATAAATTGTGATATTTACGTATGTGCTTACAATATATCTTAGATTTACCCCCTTCATCGTTTTCCTCCTTCCCCCTTCTTAGAACAATTTCAACAGGTTTCATTCTTCTATTTCATATATGAATACAAAATACATCAACCAGATTCACCCTCATTTACCTTTCCCTTATGCCCACCCCCCTCCCACAGATACTCACCCCTGGGAAGGACCTATTTTGCACTCCTGCCCTTTATTTTTTAAGTGTATTTTGATTATCCAAGGGGGTTTCACCTTGGTACTTCAGGCCTGTATATATGGTGCTTTAATCAAATTACCCGCTACTTACTCTTTCCTATCTTTCCCTGCTACTTACTCTTTCTCTATCACCATATTACAAATATGCATGATTATCATTGTTCTTCATTGATGTATTCTGGAACCTAGATGAATGAAAGGTATTATAATGCTTAATTGTTTGCAAAACTTTCATATCCAATTGAGCTTATCATTTCTCCCATTTTAAAGATGAGGAAGTGGCCCCAATCTATACGAACTACTTTAGTAAATAGCATAGTTGAAAACAAAATTCCTCTCTTTATACATGAAATTTAATGTTGTTTTTTCCTACATCATGTTGGCTCTCTACCAAAACATACTTCTACCTTTAGAATATGCTAGGGAATGTAGCTCAGTGGATCGTGGTTGACTGTTGTGTACACTGTAAGACAGATAGTAGAAAGTAAATATTCCTGATCAGTGTATTACTAGTCTCTTTATCCTGTTTTTAAAATATTTATTTATTTATTTACTTAATTTAGCTAGTGTTGCTGATGGGATCATGGAGTAATATTACATGTTTTACCAGAGCTCATTTCTCTCTTGATATGAAGTTGATGGTTTTAGTCACAGTGGTTGCTCCTTTAAAACATTCTTTTCATGTATAATTGATTGAATAAAAATACTGATCTCAGAGTTGTCTATAATAGAACAGAACACAAGAATAATAGTAATGTTTTCAATGACAGTCACTTAAAAATGATATTCTGTCAACCTCTGCTGCCATAATCTACTTGGATAGATGAAAGAGCACCCAAAATAGCTCTTTCTAAGACTTTCTTGAGATCTCCTTAAAGAATTCATACAACTCTGTAACAGATACTTACTTAAATATCAATAATTATTTTAAATTACCATTGCATTAACTGGCCCCTTATGTGCCTATTTGTTCTGTGGCTTGTTTACCTGACATGCTGCCTTACACTCCTAATCATTTGAAAAATACTGAAGTATAGGTAAGTTTAATTCTAGATATCATATAATATGGACTAAAATTACAGTCAGTGATAATTTTTATAGGCACTATGTATGGTTCTGATGATTTTAAAATAAAGAATATTAGAAGGTCATGGTGGCAGGTAATGAAAACTTCCATAACTTTTTATTTTGGATTGAATGAAAGGGTCTGATAACGTGGAGCTGATGAGCAGAGGTGCATCCAAAATTGAGGGTTTTTAACTAAAGGACTGAAAAACTTTGAAGCCGCAAAGGGAAAAAGATTCAGTAATATTACAGTAGTTTTCAAATGATGAAAGGAGAGAGAGAATAGATGAGAAAATGGATGACTTGAGGTGGAAATTAGTCTTTATGAGAATTAGGTTACATATTAGAATAATAATTAATGTTCCTATCATAAAGTGTGGTGACATATGCTTGTGCTTATTTTCATTATGCGTTATCCTAACTCAGGACTAATGTTAGTTGTGTTTTTTCTTTGGCAGTTATGAATTGAAGGTAGTTGCTTCTGATTGATTTTTGCTTCTAAAATATTTTGTGATTTTTGCCTATCCTTGCCAAGAGTGTGTATATTTCCTTTTTTGAGTAGAACTATGAACTTTCATAGATTAAAGACGAGGTAAAAATATTTTCATTCACCTTTGGTAGAACATAGATGATACATTACAGATTGGTGAGAAAAATAAGGCAGGATGACACTATGTAACAACATAGTAATTGAACATAAACCCAATCTAGATGCTAATACAATCCAATATTCATTACCACCAAAATGTGATATATGAGAGAGAAAGAAAGAATCTATTAGAAAAGTATTTTGTGGCTGGGTGCATTGAGTCAACGCCAGTAATCCTAGCTACTTGGGAGGTAAAGATTGGAAGGATTGCTGTTCAAGGCCAGCCTAGACAAAAAGTTTACGAGACATCATCGACCAATAAAAAGCTGGGGATGGTGGAGTGCACGTATCATTCCAGACATGTGGGTAGTATAAATAGGATCTCAGTCCAGGACAGCCCAGGCTTAAATGTGAGACCTTATTTAGAAAAATAACTAAAGTGAAAAGGGCTGAGGGTGTGGCTCAAGTGATAGAATGCCTGGTGATCAAACACAAGGCCCAGAATTCAAACCCCAATACTACCAAAACAAACAACAAAACAAAACAAAACAAAAAACCCCAGTATTTTGCATAAGAAGTCAGAAGGAAACAAATTTGCATGTATACATTTTGTTTTAGGTTGAGGAATTTGGAAAAGTCTCATGAAATAGATAGGAGCATGATGATGTTGCATGTGATGCTATTTGAACTCAGTTTTCAGGTTCATATGATACTTAGTTCCAAATGAATTTGCTTTTGCTATTCATGCTACTCCTTCTTGAGTTTAAATCTTGAAGGGTCATTATTATTTTCTTTTATATCTCTGTAACCTAATGATTTTGCCATACAAACTGGATTTTGTACTAAGCTAATGCTATCATAACTGTTTAAAATTAATGTTTTTGATAAAACAAGAAAAAGCAAGTCTGTTCTTCACCAGCTCCAGGAAGGACAATCAATTAAGATATCTGGATTCTACAATATATGATGATTTTTAGTTATGAATATATTGTTTGTAGGAACAAGTAATTCACTGAAGGCAGAGAGAGCATTTGTTTATTTTAGTTTTCTCAAGGTTCTGGGGACTAAACCCACATTCCAGGCAAA